TGAAACGCAGCAAACGAAAGCGGAGGCAGAGGGCGGCGGGGGGGATGGGGGAGAGGCGGAAGAGCGTAAGGAGGATGGAGGAAAGCGGAGGGGGTCAACGGAGGAAGAGGAGGAGGAACAGGAGTCACGATTTGGCGTTGGGGCCTGTATTCCGGCGTCTTCATTGTATGGAGGACTCAGAGTGCACAGGATTATGTGGACGAGCCTAGTACCCCACGCAGCGTAGCATCCCTGAGGTCTGCTATCGAAGACGCCCACGGCGAATCACCGTCGCCCCCTGTTTTTTTGGAAACGCCTATGTGGCCGAACGTCGGGGCCAGACCTGCCAAGCTATCGGGCCATGTGTTCCCCGAGTCGGTTTGGAAAGCCTTCGGGGAACACGTGGGCATCTTGAAGGTCATCTTGGCCGCCTGGAGGCCATGTTGACCCTTTTTTCTAGCCTTTTTGGAGGACGTCTTGGAGGGCTCTTGGGCCGTCTTGGAGGCCATCTTGAGCATCTTGGAAACCTTTTGGACCGTTTCGGGGGCCTCTTGGGACCGTGCCTTGGGCCTCTTGGGCGATGTTTTGGGGCACCTGAGCTGTCTCGGGCCCTCGGAAGGCGGAGCAAAAAGCAAATGCCACAATCCTTCAACGACCCATGGGAAATCATTGATTTTGGCCTTTTTCTGGCTTTCGTGGAGGCCCTGTGGGAGGCCTCTTGGGCCGTCTTGGGTCATCTTAGGGCCATGTTCGGCCGTCTTGGTGGATTCCTGGTCCGTCTGACGCCGTCGGGAGCCGTTTGGGCGGCCTCTATGAGCCGACTTGGGGCCCTCCTGGAATGATCCAGGGCCGTCATGGAGGCCATCTTGGGCGTCTTAAAGGGCCTCCTGTGCCGTCTTGGGGGCATCCTGGGGCCGTCTTGGGGCCCTCTTGCGCCGTTCTGGGGCCATCTTGGAGGCCTCTCGGGCGATCTTTCGGCGATCTTGGGGGTCTCTTGGGCCGTCTCGGACCGTCGGAAGGCCGAAAGGAAGCAACTGTCAAAATCCGTCAAACACCTTAGGAACATACAGGCTTTTGGCCTTTTCAGGCCTTCCTGGAGGTCCTCTTGAGGGCAACTTGGGCTGTCTTGGGCCAGCTTCGAGCCATCGTCGGCCATCTTGGTGGGTTCCTGGCACGTCTGACGCCGTCGGGAGCCGTCTTGGGGGCCTTTCTGGGCCGACTTGGGGCCCTCTTGGGGCGTTTCGGGGCCGTCTTGGAGGCCATCTTGAGCCTCTTGGGCCGTCTTGGGCCGTCGGAAAGCCGAAGAGGCGCACATGCCAGAATCCTTCACAACAACCTACAACAAATCAATGATTTTGGCCTCGTCGGGCCTTCCTGGAGAACCTCTTGCAGACTTCTTGGGCCGTCTTGGAGGCCTCTTGCGAGTTTTTCTTCGGCCGTCTTAAACCATCTTGAGGACGCCTTGGGCCGTCTTGGGTGCATCTTGGAGCCATCTTAGCCGTCTTTGAGGCCATCTTGGCCGTCTTGGAGCAACTTGGAGGCCATCCTGGGACATCTTGGCCGTCTTGGAGGCCATCTTGGGCCATCTTGGGGCAACAAAGGCGACGACTGGTGGTTTTCCGGGTTGGCCGGCGGGACGGGCCGAAGCCCCAGGGAGTTCTTTTGGAAGGAGAACCAAAACCAAAAGCCATATCGTTGGGCACGCTAGGCACCTCGTTGATTAATCA